AATACAAGTAAAATCTATCTTAATCTATATATTATATATTTTTACATGTCAATTTTAGAATAAATGAAATTTTAAAATAATAAATTTAATATAAAACGTTCGTATGAATCAGCAATTTATCAAAAAAAAAAATTAAAAACATGCAATTATACAATTATATTTGATTAATATGATCCTATAGTACAATTTAAAAACTAATAAAATAAAATATAATTGAATTAAAACTAATTTTGAAATAATTTGACTACGAGTTAGCAGAATATATTTATATGTGAAGCACATTGTATTCATTGACAAAACAATTTATCATAATTAAAATTAAATTTTGAAAAAATCAGATATAATTAAGGAAATATAAAAACGGGTCGTAATAAATAACAATGCAAAGAAAGGACAATTATTTTAATAAAAATTATTACTTAACTATCGCAATCTAACCATCTAACGCTAAAAGTGTGATAAAAATGGCGATTGAACAGTAAGTAGAAGGTCGGTCAGTGAAGCATTCACGTATTAAGAGCTGCCTTAAAAAACAAATAAATGATCTACCTATTTGACGATATATGCTTGATTTTACAAAATCTTTTTATAAGTAAACAACCACAAGTATGTAAGGTTTTGCTTATTTTGAATTCTTCTCCGGAGTACCAAGAAAAGCCTAATTTTGGTTTTTCATCTCTTTTGCGTTGAAGGGGTTTTCTCTTTCGCACCTAAACTTTCGTCTGTTGTGTCTTAGTGGTTTTTCTAGAAGGCTTTAATAAAGTAGAGAATTCATTTCAGAGTATGGTATCGAGATCTCTATAGCTCAGGAATGGCTTTCCTAGGGGCCGTACTATTTTTTAGCTTTGCTAGGTTATGTCTTATGTTATGTTTATATATTAGACATTGGTCGTCTACGTAAACCCAATTTTTATTGTATTTCACTGGACCGTAAATATACTATAGGGATTTTTTTTAAGTTCCTTTTTGTTGAACATGATTTGTTATTTGGTGGAACATGGTTTGTTATTTGTTAAGCACATTGCCCTAAATCACCTCCTTCCTATGACAATACAGTATTTACCATGAAAATAGGCACGTTTCAAGGTGGGGAAATTACATCACAAGCTATTCGGACCACTTGGTGAAAAATGTAGACTATGTAATTGTTAAAAAATCTCTAAAGTTCTGTGGGGCAATTAACAATACTTTAGCGCGAAGATATTACCAATATTTGGTTTATGGAATAAGCAGTTGTTAATTTGAAATAGTACGTTTTTATATAAATTATTTAAATATAACAGGAAAAAAATTCACTTTTCACAAACGCCTTCACCACGATACACGACTCAATTATGACACTTCACAGAAAGCACACAGTTTGAGTGAACAAAAATACCTTCATCAAAACAAACTTTATTTCAATGACTACATTATCATCTAAATAAAAATTATTTGTACATAAATTTACACACGTTAAACATATTTACCGTCACATAATACAATGTTTGTAAAACCCAGGTTCTGAGGATGATGTAAATAAAAGTCAAAACGTCGGCGAAAAAAAAGTTTTTTCTGAACCACATCAATCTTTAAAAAATCTCAATAATTCAACCACATAAATAACAAACATAAACAAATCTTCACAATGCCCTTTTCTCTCTTTCTTTAAAAAATATTTAGTAAACATAACACAAAAAACGAAAGTAATGCGAGGAAATTACTATTGGGTTGTTTCAAATGTCCGATTTGTGTTTCAGAAATTCAGGAAGGATATAGCGGTTTTCTATTCTTTACTTCCAATTGTTTACATTATAATTAAGCCGTTATTAATCCTCCACTTTTGTTTATAATGATGAGCTCCCCAATCCATATACCTTTTAGTATACCTCCAAATATGAACATGGAAAAACGCGATTTTCGTGTAATATTCTTGTACGAGTTTAAACTCGGTCATGCAGCAGCTGAGGCTGCAATAAACATCAGTAAGGCGTTTGGGGAAGGGAAATGAACGGTCCATTCGCCGTTGGTTGCGGAAGGGAATACCGAATTGGAAAACGAGCCCCGCGGAAGACCTCCAATTTTAAGTGACCTCGATGTCCTTAAGGTTCAGGTGGAAGAAAATCACTAACAGACAGCTAAAGGACACGCAGCACAACTAAATGCAAGTGCAGCTGCCGTGCCATGACAATTAAGGAACAAAGTAAAAGTCAAAAAGCTTGATCTACGGGTCCCTCATGAGCTCACTGATCGACACAGTTAAAACGCCTTGAGTCATACTTTTCGTTGCTCGCAAGGCAAAAACCGAGCCTTTTCTTGAAAGAATAATCCCTTGAGATGAAAAATGGATTGCATATAACAATCAGCGTTGGTCAGGACAGTGGTTAAACATCGACGAAAGACCAGGACACAATTTACACCCCAAAAAATTGTTAATGGCATGGTGGTCCATGGCTGGAATTATTCACTACATCTTTTCGCCTAGAGGTTGGGCCATTACCTCTACATCGAACTGTAAAGAAATTGACGAAATGCATAAAAATTACTTTAAAAAAACCTGCATTGATAAATCGGGAAGGCCCTCTACTCCACGACAACGCCGGGCCTCATGTTTCAAAACATACTGTAAACAAATTGGAAGAGCTTGTTCTTCAGCATCGATCTTATTTCTATTTTCACCTGTTTAGGAGTTTAGACAACTTTGTCAAAGGAAAGTTTTTTGAAAGCGATGTTCAAGTCCAAAAACCGTTTTCAATTTTGTTTCATTTCAAAGCCCAGAATTCTTTAGTTACGGCATAAACAAGTTGGTCACGCGTTGGAAAAAATGTGTAGGAAATGAAGGTAAATAAAGTATTTCGAACAAAATGATTTTGTTTTTATATAGTAATTTTACTAAAAAACCTTTATCTTGGAAATTGACATTTCATGTGAAACAAACCAATAGTTTATGATTACAAATTTATAATCAAAATATCGGTTCAGCAAGTTGGAAGTATTGGATCCAAGTTAATACCGACTATATGTAGTACATAGTTGGCTCTAAGAACATTTGTGGGTCAGACGCTGACATCTATGGAAATGTACCAAAGGTGAAAATCATAGAAGCTTTGGGCATTGCTTCAGTAGGAGACTGTAGCTTTTGAACTCTATGCCTGGGAGATCAAAAGGGTGTTACCAACAAAAGAATAACCAGATAGCACTTTAGGCAACTACGTCATCTGTACGCCACAGCCGTTTGGGATGGTAGTCTTGCAGGGATTGTGGAAAAAATGCCCTTCTTTGGTGGAGGAGCATCGCGGAGGACGACAAATAACCAAGGAATGTTCTATCTGGAGTTCTATCGGCCCAGAGTCATTTTGCGGTATAGCGAATTGTCAAGAGTATATAGATCAGACAATGAGTTAAGAATTAGTCGTCGATTTAATGGAAATTTGAAAAATAGTTGATCAAAAGACCATAGGAGAAACTAAAGACAGAACTACTAAACCTAAAACAAGTTATTGTTAGATTAGAATGGTGGTAGGATGATAAAAGGATATTTCAGAGGTATGTATCACTCAGGACAACAAAAACACGCCTAGCTGATATTGCCAAAAAGAAGAAAAAAGGTTCTTGGAGAGGGAAATGTTTGAAGGATACCCACAGGAGCCCTAATAAAGTTTTGGTATCTGATAACGATAACGATAAAAACTTTTAAGCTTAACGAAGAGGCCAAGAAAATGATAGGCATTGCTGACTTCTTTAAAGCTTAAACCTTAAACATTACCATGAACAAATCAAACTTAAGCCTACCGATTTTAATAAAACTTTTTTTTAAAATGATACGAAGTTGAAAAATATTAGGCACTTTTCCGAGCATTCTTGCCTATGAGCGCTAGGAGCCGAGAAAAAAGTATTTATTTAATTTATATTTTACCAATCATGACCCTGTTCTGAGTTAATAAAATGGCTCAGGGTAAAAGTAGTATGTATAAGGTGTTAGATATATCGACCACATTTTTAATCACGAATTAATCTGGATCTAGGTATGCTCTGAATTGTTGTATTGAAATTTTACTACAAAGTTTTCGGCCAATTTTTTAAGTCAACCCGAAGGAAAAAAATCAATGTGTTAAGTCCCAATATTGCCAAGGAGTGTAACACTATTGCCAAATAAAGGGCATATTATTATATACATTTAAGCTGTAAAAACTATAATATTTCGGTCAAATTTGTGCGAAAATAACTATTTATATGTGAGATCTCGTTCAGAGGATTATTAGTTGAAAACCACAAGGGTTACGCTTTGGATCGAAAAGAACCATATAATTAATGGAATTATAATAATTATGCTGTACTGAAAAAATTTTTGTAGTAAGACTAAATAAATTGTATATATACACACTTTTCATTAATAAACAAGAATATGTCAAAATAAATAGGAAGAACCAAGTCAAGCAGAACAAATTTTTAAGGAAATTTAAATAATTCGGTGGAGCAGATTTCTTTTGTAATAAAATGTTCTTCGACAACTTGAATAGTTTAATTTTGCAAATTGAAGTTTGTAGATAATTTGTGTTTGTTAGAGGTGAATATGAACGATCAATATCAAAAGACCCGATCGTTCCAGATCACCTGAGGCTGTCGTCAGCTTGCTCTCAATTCACCCCGTTTGCTATGCGAACGCCACAATTATATTAACAAGCAATTACATCGAGGACAGTGTTCAAGGTGGACTTGTTGAGCACACTATCAGAAATACCTATTAGCAACAAAAAACAAACCCGTTTGTAACAGGTGCTTTTATAAAATTATTTCAATTTAGAAAGTAGAACAATCAATGCCGTTTGAAACAGTATCTTGCATGACAGGCGTGCTCTTGAATTGTTAAAACCGGTAATTTTATATGTTGTGTTCAGATTAAAACTTGTTTTTGCTACATTTTTAAAAATAAAGATTTATTATTATTTATTAATTTTCCTAATTATTCTATAAAGGAGAAAATCGAAGGTATTAATTTAAGACTTAAAAAAATAAAATCATAAAAAGAAGTAAAAAATTTATTATTTACACAAATATATAGTGTATATTACATTTTTTTGATTTACATTTTCATGCTGTTGATGTATTTGTGTTCAAAACGTAATTTTCAGAATTGAATAAATTATCTGCTGTTGAATGCGTTACTGTTTATAAATATACAGCAGGTGATATTTCTTGGTTTGACTGAAGAGGTAGTTTCCAACCGAGATTGGAGGTCGCTTAGTGGTGGTAATGTTCGAGTCCTCCGTAGGAGCCGTATCCGTAACCTTCACCGTAGGAAGAGTATCCTTGGTAACCGTGGTCCTTGACGACAACTGGGACTTCTTTGTGGACGTATACGGGCTGGGCTACAGGGACCGGGACGTGCTTTTCGACAGTCACGGGGTAGGGCTTAGCTACGGGGACAGGTACGGGATGAGCGACGGGGACATGGACGGGGACTTTGACTGGGTAGGGAACAGGCCTGTCTACGGCGTAGGGAACGGGCTTCTCAACCGGGACGGGGTAGGGCTTTGGTACGTGGACGGGGTAGGGCCTGTCGACGGGAACGGGGTATGGGACCTTTACGGGGACTGGGACGTGCTTTTCGACGGTGACGGGGTAGGGTTGGGGCACTGGGACTGGGACTTCCCTGTGGAAGGTAACGGCCTTGAGTACGCCTTCGGTAACGTATGTCTTTCCTACGAAAGGAGCAGCGTGGCCGACGACATGGCCGCCAGCGTAACCGTGTCCGACAGCGACTGGGCCGGCAGCGTAACCGTGTCCGACGGCGACTGGGCCGACACCGTAACCGTGTCCGACGGCGACTGAGCCGACACCGTAACCGTGTCCGAAGGAGACTGGTCCGGCAGCGTAACCGTGTCCGACGGCTACTGGAGAGGCGACGTAGCCTTTAGTGACTACGGGAGCGGCGGCGACGTAGTTCTTAGTGACTACGGGAGCGGCGGCGACGTAGCCTTTAGTGACTACGGGAGCGGCAGCGAGGTAGTTCTTAGTTACTACGGGTGCGGCAGCGACGTAGCTCTTGGTGACGACGGGAGCAGCAGCGACGTAGCTCTTGGTGACGACAGGAGCAGCGGCGTAGCCATGGGCGTATTCTCCTCCGTATCCGAAATCGGAGAAATCGTAACCTCCGTGTCCGTATCCAACACCAAAGACACCCCTCTTCTTGTTGTTCGACTCTACCTTCTTCTTTTCGTCGACTTCCTTGTCGGCGAAGACGGAAGCTACCACCAAAAGAAGTACACAAACCTGAAATCAATCGATTTATCATTAAACATTGCAAATTTCCCAACAAAACAAAGATTAAGTATTACTATTAAAACACATATAAAATAATTTTAGACAGTTCGCCGCAGTACCTTTTTCTCATTCGATCTAAGTTAATAGAATTTTATAACTATCCTGGAAGTTTGAAAAAAAACCGCTTTCAAAAAATAAATCCCCTTCATCCGATCTTTGAAACTATTATTAATAATTGACAAAATTGACAAATATGGTCATATACTTACAATTTTGAAACTTATGGTTTCGAGCAGAATAAATTTTTGAGTTTTGTTCGAGTAGACGAGATCCATCAACTATCCTATCTATATCAGAATTAAATCTTTAGTAATAGTCTGAAAGTCCTGATACAGATTGCTGAAATGTTCCTCAAAAGCTTGTCGAAAGAAATAAAGCTTTTTTTTTTAAATTAAATTTTTAAATATCCCGGTTTTAAATATAAAATTATAATATTAAAGGCTGATATTGAATATAATCAGATAAATTAATAGAATGGACTTAATTTACCGCGATATTTTTATATATAATACAATCGTATTCACCGTCTCTAAAGGAAGCAATGCTTCGGTAAATTGGTAATTTTATTCGATGACCATATAATTCATAACAATATTAATTTCGGGAAAAACTTGTTTAGAGATTATTTAAATTAATTTGTGTACTCAATCGACATCGGCAGATGAAAATATGCAATAACATTTGTATTCAATGACAAAGTAAGTCAAATTTTAAAATCTCCTCCACTTAAGTCAACCGACCAAGAAGTTGATGATTTTGTTTATTTATTGCTTCTATGGCTGAACTTTTCTACTTTTACATTACAGTAAAAGTTCTTCCAAGATATTGAAGTAAATTTAATAAAATAATTAGTTCATATTTTAAAAATGCAACCCCCTTGGTTCGAAATATTGTTTCTTGTAGCGTACCAAAGTTAATATTTGTTAATGATTATTTTTAAATGACAATTTTATTTATGAAATAGAAAAGATAATCTGTTCATATTTAATGAACATGAAAATTATATATTGAAATTTTGTGGCCTATATCTAATAAATTTTTCCACCGAGTTTAATTATAATCATATTCATTTGATTTGCACGTAACACTTTTTTGAACCACTCAAATTTTTCACTTTCACGTTTTCCCCGCGTACATCGATGACGCCGTCCCTCCGACTTACTTAATAAAGCACAGAAAGTCTGTTTAAACGACCAACTTACCTGTAACTTCATGTTTGAATCAAGTGTTAGTACGGAGCTTTGTCTCAGGGTATATATAGGTTGTAAACCTTCCTCTCCCACCGTCGTTGGCCTTGTGAAACGTTCCCCCGGCTCAAGCTCTAGGGTAAGGACTCTGTTGCAGACGGTTGCCCTTATTTGACAAACTGATTCGGTGCGTTTTTTGTGTCAAAAATGAGAACAAATGGCGAAATACTGGCAGTACGACGGCCAAACCCGGACCTTCGACACTGCATCCTGCTCGCTCTCCTGTGACTATTTCTCGTCAACCTCTCTTCCTGAAAACGTTCATGTCATCAGAAATAAACAGTGTAGGAAAGACATTTTTAATTGAAAATATGTGTTTTTAATTACGTGGGATTTTAGTTGTTGTAAAGTGTCTTATTTTTCTCTATTCTTTTTTTTTTTTTTTTTGAAAATACATTTTGATCGGAGGAGTATGTGACTAATTTTTTTATTTGAAGAAAATACTTATGAGCAGATCCAGGGCCCATGGACGGATGTCTTTTTAATAAGATTGAACAACACACTCACTCCACTATTTATTATTCCTATGGAAGGATGTCTGTTCCCTATAATAGCCAAATGAAATATTAAATAAAATATAAACATTGAAATACAATTTTTAAATGTGTAGAGATTAGTGACCGTTATTCGATAGTTATTCAGATATCTGAATAACAATTTTCAAAGCAATATGTTTACGATTCCATTTTGTCAGTGTACACAGAAGGTGTTTGTCATCTGCTTAAAATATTTAAATCTGCGCATAAAATAATTAAATTCACCATGGAGCACGAGAAGGAAAGATGTATGAACATTTAGACCTGCTTTTGAAATAGTTGAATGCAAACAAATCTTCTGATTTATATAAAGAGAAAGATAGTTCACGAAGATTGTTAAATGATTATTCAACTTATCAGCAATATCAAAGAGAAATTTAGTAAATAATTTCATTAACAGAATATTAACACTAACAGTAAGTGATATCGTTTTTCATTATAAAAATCTTAAAGAAGTACTGTTGATATTTTAGACAAGAATAATTACCCTGGAAGTATAATAAAACAGCGTGACAAAACATACAACCAATATTTTAGAGAGAAAAAAAAAAGACGTTAGAAGGATGGCGTCGGTGGCCGCATCGGTTAGGGTTTGGCATGGCGACTCGTCACGGTAAGGTGAAGGTCCCGGGTTCGAATCCAAGTCTCTAAATTCGAACCAACACTTACAAATGAGCTTAGAAAATACTGGCACCTAGGGGGTTGTATGTTCTCTGCTGTTGTGAACCCATGTAAAAAAGTAACAAAAAAGATGAAAAAAAATGTAAAAAATATACAATAGATGAAAATGCAAATACGTTAAGATGTACGTAAAAGGTAAAATATTATTATAATATGAAAACTACAGTATAGAAAGAATTAAGAGTATATGTACATAATTATTTGTGAATATGGAAAAGACGTGGAGAAATACGTACGTGGGAAAACAATACATTTTAAAAACAATAATAACGATATAGAAACCAATAAAAGTACTGCAAAATAACACATCACAATGTATAAACTACATATATTATAATTGTAGAAAATCTAAAGTTGATTAAAAACGAAACAATAAAATCGGGGGGAGGGGTTTCCTTTTTAGATGGTAGGGCTGAATTTCTTTTGAAATGAAAACTTAAAAAAAAAAGTATTTAAATATGTACTTATCGCCTGTTTAAGAAAGACTGAAATTTGTACCCAATATGTAAAAACACTGTGCTTTCATTGAAACATCTAAAATACCAAAAAGAGTACGGAAAGTCGAAGTTTTCACAGGGTTTTAGATTTTCACCCACAGGTAGAGGTGAGAGTTGCGAGTTGGAGTATTGATGTATTCGACAATTTCAACTAAATATGAAATAGTCGTACCATATTTGTACAAAAACTTTTGATACTAGTGAAAAAAGTAAGTGTTTCAAACGGTTTTTTGATTTTCACCTACAGGTTGTGTTTGCGGGATGGATTATTGATGTAACCGTCTATTTCAACCAATCTCAGATACCCATCGCTCTAGAAAATGTACCAAATATGTATAAAAACTTTTTGAAACTAGTGAAACATCTTAAATACAAAAAAAGGTCGAAAAGTAGATGCTTTAACCGTTTTTAGATTTTTACCTACCGATTGAAGTGTAAGTTGCGAGTTGGAGTATGAATGTATTCAACTATTTCAACTAGATTTAGAACAATACAAAACAATAACATACCTGGTACCTCAGGTTCAATAAAACGTAAAAAAAACTTCTGACACATTATTTGATTTTTTTGGTATGGGATATTTCACAATATCTCGGGGGCTCAAGAACAGAGTACTTAAAATAAAGATCGTGTGTGTTCCTAGGCACTGAGGAGTATATGCAAATGACAAATGGGTGTCAATATTATAAGTTTGGAACACCAAAGGCCATTTTTAAAAAAGATTGATTTAGTTTAAAACATACAATGACAATTACAGAATAGAAAAGGCCGAGAGATTCGTCAAATGATGTAGGACGTCCTAAGAACGGGGATAAATGCCCCATATAAACGCCGGGTAGCGCAGAGTCAGCTGGGGGCAGTCCTTCAACTCTTAGCTAATGAAGCATCTAGCTCTGAAATAGCCATAAAAGAAATCCCTATAAACGATTACATATCCCTCTTGAGAAAGAAGAATTTTCACTTTTCGCTACGTAAATGGGATACAACAAACGACAATAAATTACGGAAAATAAAGGTTACAACGCGGAAATGGCTATCATCGTACGATATGGTAGGCAGGAGATACAAAACAGTTCTCAGAAGATTTAGAATCAAACATACATGGACCATCTCCAGGCAAGGGAACCCCACCTATCCGTTCGGCATATAATCATGTACTGTCTGTAAAGTATTTACTTAACACATGTTACTGCTATATCAAGTAAAGAACAGAATACCAACTGTCAGATACTGGGCGATAGTTGATTTTTAAATNGATACTTCTAATAGTCAAAAAAGATAGTCTCAACAAGCCTTATTACTATGTAGTATTTGTTCGAAAAATCAGCAGGGCATCAATTCGTTTGCATATGTGTAATGATTGATATTTAAGTACGAAAAATTATTGTAATACTAATATTTAATGTGTGGTGATTAGTGACTGTTAGTCGATGATTATTCAGAAATCGTGAGGTGCGGTCTGGTATGAAAAACATTTTCTTTATCGTGCCAACGTTTCGATCTTTATTGAGATCATCTTCAGGGCCTGGAATTTACAAACATTGTTTAAATTTAATAAAAACATGTGAAAAAAGTGAATTTATACAATGCAAATATATATTTTTTTATATTCAATCAAAGTATTTCTACTCATTCAAAGTGTTTGTTTTTTATGTAATTGTGCCTTTCTTGCATGTTGTGTCGAGAGTGCCAGTGAGATATTGCTGTTTTAAGATTATATACGTTGGCTTTTGAAGGGGTAGGGAAGAAAGTCGGTAAAAAAAGACATTTTTGTGTAAGGAGTCGGCTTCTTTGAGGTGAAAAAAGCCGACGTTGGGAAAAAACGTTGGTAAAAAAAGGCCGAAACATTATCAACAACCCCTTCAAAATCTAATGTATATAAACATAAAACAGCAATATCTCACTGGCACTCTCAACACGACACGAAAGAATGGCACAATTACACAGAAGACACACTTTGAATGAGTAGAAATACTTTGATTATTTATTTGATATAAAAAGATATATTTTGCATTGTATAAATTCACTTTTGTCCACATCCTAAATGTATTTGTTAAATGTAAACAATGTTTGTAAATCCCAGGCCCTGAAGACGATTTCAATAAATGTCGAAACATTGGCACGATAAAGAAAATATTTTTCTGAAACCTACATCACACCAGACCACATCTCACGATTTCTGAATAATCACTAATATTTAAAATAAATCATTGTTTTTTGCTTTGTACTCCAGTTAAACAAGGCGACGTATAAGTTATAAGCAGGGCCAAGTAAGAAGTTGACTTTTTCGACTTCATCTTACTCTTGTCGTAGGCAAATGTGATGATTATTATGACAGAACTTGTCAACACATTATTGAATCGTCATTTTAATTGAGTAAACTCCAACAAAGCGGAGAAAAATTCGGTTTTGTAATCTAAGTCATTTATTTTAGGTGTTTACTATAATTCTAATTAAAAAGAAAAGAATATTATCCACTGATTTATATCCAGGCAAAGATTACAAACCACTGGGCCGAATTGATTCTCTTTTGTTCTGCCTATCTACAGTACAAATTAATTAATTCTGACCAATTGTTCGAAAAATCAGCAGGGGCAGAAATCGTTTGCTTCTGCGTAACAATTGAGTATCAAATACGTAACATTGTTAACAATGTATATAAATCTAAGAGACAAAAATCCTTCGAAACAAGAGCTTTAGTTTCTTGTTTTTACTTTTGATCAAATAAGCTGAACATGTTTTCATTTTTCTATCGTTATTTTAGAATAATCGATGTAATTGTTCTTTTTTCAAATATTTATTAGGTGTTTTGAACAATGTACTTTTGTATGAAGATGTGTAGTCTCTCGTTCCACATTAAAAAAAAAAAATTGATTATGGATTGCTTATAAAAGAATAAGAGAATGATAGGAATCTGGAGATATTTTGTTGTAAACCAACTAAGTTTAGTATACCTTTTTTGCCGGTTTGTTTTCCATTTAAGATTTAGAGCAGTGAAGTAGAACTTTGATATGAAATTTGATTTTTAATCGAGTATATGTTTTTGGGCTGATGACGGATGATGGCTGACAAGGGTATCCCTGACATCGCACTAAGTCTCAGGGTTTAATGGGTTGGATAACCAGTTAATAATAAAAAAACTTATTTTAAAAGTAATAAGTAAAAAAAAGTTCGTTGTTATGATGTTGCACATTTAGCCTGTTGGTAGGACTGATAAATTTAAACTTTATATTCAATTAATTAAGGTTTTTATTTGAGATAAAAAAAAGTCTGTGTCACAAGCGGGATTCGAACCCACGACCTGAATGACATGAATGTATCGGCAGAATTACGCTAATTC